GAACACTTGTATATACAGGTTCATACCAGCATTACTCGGAACAGCCCGGATTAGGAGGAACCCATAAATCTATCAACTTATTGAGAAACAAAACACATTTCTCTCTCTCTCTCTTTCTCTCCGCTCACCTCTCTCTAAATTTCTTTCAAAGAGAAGAAATCAAGACAGGAAGTAAAAGATGAGAAAAGGAAGTAATGGGAGAGCAGGGGTCAAACGTGTCAGGCACAGAGGTCACGCGGGGAAGGGGCATAACTCTAATCCAAAACACAGAGTCAGCGCTGAAAACATGAGATCTCAACTACAACCAGCAAACTCAAAACTGCCTGTCCGGTGGAGGTGGAGGAAACCCGGGGTCACTGATTTAGGGACGTAAACATGAGATTGGTGGTAGAAGATTATATACCTAAAACTCATCTATCAAGAACTTTATAAATCTTGGCTCTTTAATAAAATAAAACATTAAAAAAATCTGGCTTTGAATCTGGAAAAAACCTGAGTGCCCGAGAACATGTGTGAAGGTACCAGCAGAGGAACAAAGGCATGCGGGTCCCGGGGCTGAGATCTCCAAGCCTGCTTGGATCGGGGCTGAGCATCCTCCACCCAGATTCTCCAAATTTCAGTAGGTGGGGGTCACACCCACCAACTGGCCCCCTGGTGCCGTGTAATCCCATCTACGGCCAAGACCCAGAGACTATAAAACCCAGCTCCCGGAAGAGAACAGCGCAGAGTCTCCTGCCCCGGTGCCTGGCTGTCCTCACCGGGGCCCCTTGGAGGGGAGCAAGTTGAGTTTTGCTCCCTGCCCCGATCGGGGCTCCAGCAGTCAAAGACCTCCAGAACCAGCCACCACCATGCTGAGACTACTCTCCACACACATAAAGGTACCGGCAGGGGAACAAAGGCACGCGGGTCCCAGGGCTGAGATCTCCAAGCCTACTCGGATCGGAGCTGAGCATCCTCCACCCAGATCCTCCAAATTCCAGTAGGCGGAGGTCACACCCACCAACTGGCCCCCTGGTGCCGTGTAATCCCATCAACGGCCAAGACCCAGAGACTATAAAAACTAGCTCCCGGAAGCGTGCGGCCGAGCGACATCTTATCATCTCATTCCTACTTTGGACAAACTGGCAGGCTACTGAATGTAACCTGCCCACACAGCAGAGTCTGGCAAACTCCCCGTGGCGTACCCGATATGCCAAATACCAGTAACAATGATGGGTCTCATTCTCCTAACCCTGAAAGAGCCTTGAATATGACACCTTTTTAAAAAAAAAAAATCCCAGGGCTAGGACGAAGGAGATGTTACTGGGGCCTGCTCGAGGCAATCGACGAATAACAGGATGGTCGTGATCATGATTAAAAAAATCTGGCTTCGAATCTGGAAAATACCTGAGTGCCCGAGAACAGATGACTGGTTAAAGAAGCTTTGGTACATCTACACAATGGAGTACTATGTAGCTGTTAGAAAAGATGAAGTCATGAAATTTACATACAAGTGGTACTATGTGGAAAGTATCATGTTAAGCGAAATGAGTCAGAAAGAGCGGGATAGACATAAAAAGATTGCATTCATCTGGGGAACATAAAGTAACAAAATAAGAAACTAACACCCAAGAATGGCCGAGATTAGTACCAGGAATTTTACTCCATGGCTTGGAGGCCAACCACACATGCTAGGGGAAAAGGGAGCTCAGATAGAGAGGGGAGCACCAAATAAAGGGTGTTGGGAGGACCCTCCCAGGATGGGAGAAGCATGCTGAAAGTAGACTATAGACCAAACATGATTGTCACCCATTGCCTCTTTTGCAAACCACAACACCCAATAAGAGATAGAGAACAAAAGGGAATGCCCTGCCACAGAGGCAGGGTGGAATGGGGGGGATGGAGGGTGGGAGGGATACTGGGATCCGTGGTGTTGGGAAATGGGCACTGGTGGAGGGATGGGTGTTTGATCATTGTATAACTGAAACCCAAGCACAAAAATTTGTAAGTCTACAACTGTACCTCATGATGTCTCACTAATAAAAATAAAAAATTAAAAAAATATCTGGCTTCACTAAAAAACACACACAGAATATAATATATACGCATATATATAAGCAATGCAATATTATTTAGCCATAAAAGGGTAAAAACTATTCAATCATCATAATAATGAAGTGTTGATACGTTCTACAATAGGAAGGAACCTTCAAGAGTGCTAAGTGAAAGACGAGACCCGGAAGGAACAGGCTACGTGACTCTACGAATGCAAAAGGGTATAAGTTAGATGAAAGGGATAGAAAGAAATCAACCTTGCTGAGTGATCAAGTGGAACAAGGGCATTCCAAATACAGGGAGCAATATTAGCAAAAATACAGTGTGTGAGACCACCAAAATAGAGATGCTGAAATAAAGAGTTGGATCAGTAGCCGGGGAGTAGGATAAAGAAGCCTGGGAGATGAAGCTAGGGCGGGCGGAGAGGCCAGAAGGTAGGAGAGCCTTGGCTGCAGTCAATGAAGTCCCTTTTGTTAACTTAGCAGCTCTTTCATGTTATTTATTTTACTGGAGATGTTAGTGGTGCCTGCTTGAGCAAATCAATGAACAACAAACAGGACAGTGCTACAGTGTGACTACAATGAAAGCTAAGCCCCGTGAGCTGGGGCCCAGGGAATTCCAGCAATGCCCAGGGCTGCAGGACCGATGGGGCCTGTTTTAAATCTGCAAAAACCCCCTTTTTGCCAGTGGTGCTGAGGCAGGGACCAGAGCCCAGGGAAACGAAAGAAACCCCACAGAGGGCGTGGAGCTTTGTAACAGTTGGTCATTTCCTAAATTTCGTTGGTTATGAATATTCCTACATTTCACTTCCACTTTACGGGCTCATTTGAAACTTGGCTCCAAGTGGCCGAAGGTAAAATACATTGTAACACTGTAGCACTGTCCTCCTGTTGTTCAATGATTTGCCTGAGCAGGTACCAGTAACGTTTCCATTGTGAGACTTGTTACTGTGTCTGGCATATCGAATACATCACGGGGAGCTTGCCAGGCTTTGCCGCCAGGGCGAGATACTCTCGGTAGCTTGCCGGGCTCTCCGAGAGGGGCGGAGGAATCGAACCCGGGTTGTCTGGGTCAGCTGCGTGCAAGGCCAATGCCCTAGGGAAGAAATCCGTGTTGAGAAAGTAAGTGTGGCATCAAACCAAGGGCAACCGGCTGGCTAACGACGACTCTTTGCTGGGGCGGTGACTGATTTCAGAAATGAAGCAAGTCCCAGGGAACTGCAGGAGTTCCAGGTCAGAGAACTGGAAGGGCGAGAGGCACAGAAATGAATTCATCAGCCTCACTGCCAGCCTGAATCTTTTGAACTGGGGGCTGCTGCCGTGTGTGTCTAAGATAGCAAGTGCCGTCTGGCAAACGTCACAAGACACACCTGCTTTGTGCTACAGGTGGGTAGCCACGTGGGGCCTCATAAAACAAAGGGCACTGAAGCAGGGTACAAGACACATGGACGGAAGCTCCTGGTGTGTACATGAGCAGTGCATTGTGGATGAAAGGGGGTTGCAACTGGGGTCTATCTCTGTCGGGAGATGGCACAGGATGGCACAAGCACACCCTCACGGCTGTCCTGCCCCACCCATGGCAGTGCCACGGTGGGCAGGCTTGCCAGCATTCTCTTGGGTACCGTGAACCCCATGACACAAACCAGGCTTCCTAGGATTCTCCGGTTTTACCATCAGAACTTAACCCTGGAGACCAGGTGAGCGGGATAGAGAGAGTGGAAAGGAAATCCAAATTGTCCGTCATGGGTAATAATATCACAGGAGTGAGGACCACAGCGGCAGTCACGTCTATGTCTGCCAGGTAATACGGAAACTGTCACCGTCACTGTCCTCCCGTTGTTCACTGATTTGCTCGCGCGGGCTCATTGTGAGACTTGCTGTTACTGTGTTTTGGCATATCGAATACGTCACAGGGAGCTTGCCAGGCTTTGCCGTGCGGGCAAGATACTCTCGGTAGCTTGCCGGGCTCTCCGAGAGGGGCGGAGGAATCAAACCCGGCTCGGCCGGGCCAGCCGCGTGCAAGGCAAATGCCCTACCGCTGTGCTATCGCTCCAGCCCTGAAACATAAGACACGAAACATACGGAACAGAATGCCACAAAGTCACAGCAGGCTGGGGACAGAAGGACGCACACACAGTGAAGCCACTGAAGGTAGGAGAAAGGTAGCAAGTAAATAATCACAAAAACAATCAGGAGACAGATTAATCTCAGCCTGTCAACCAGATACGGGACTTTGGCTAAGTTCCCAAACTCAGTAAACACTTGTGAAATGACCGATCTTCTCAGAATCACATGTTCTTCCTACAATATTAAACTTTGGGGCTGAAAGAGAGCTCTTATATTCAGAGTAATTCTTCTTCCCGCTTTGCTAAGGTATAATTTACAAGAAAAAGTGATATATTCAAGGTGGAAAATGTGGTAACAGATGTATACATTATGACGTAATTTCCACAAGCAGGCAATTAAGAACACCCCATGACCTCACACGCTTATGACTTTGTTTTGGTGGCGAGAACAATTAAGATCTACTTACTCGGCCAATTTCAAGATTTCAAGAACACCACATAGCAACTCTGCTTCCACCAGACCCGAGCACGTCTTCACGTCGTAGCGGAAACGTCAAACATTTTGAAGAGCTGCTACCACTCTCCCCAACAAGCAGATCCTGCACCCTCTGCTTTCAGGGGCCCCCGTCAACTTTCACGAGTTTGACAGTTTTAGACTTCACAGGTCAGTGAGAGCATCAAGTGTCTCTCCAAAACTGGCTAGAATCACCGGTCAAAATGTCTTCTAGGCTAACCTGTGAAGTTCTGAGTGGCACGGCTTCTCTTTTCATGTATTTTTTTTTTTTGTCTCTGTGTTTGCACATGTCAGTTTCACTGATGGCACAATTTCCCTTATCTGCTTATTTACAGGCAGACCTGGCCGTGCTGTCTAAGGATCTGGTGACAGCACTGAGATACCCCTTTAAGGTTTGGGCTGAACTGTCTTCTGATAGATGCCCTGGATGGGCTCTCGGGTCATAAGGCAGTTCTCGTCAAAGTTTTGGAAGCTGTTCCCAAACTGCCTCTTATACCTGTTTATACCAATTTATATTCCCACGTACAATCCAAAGGTTTCCTTTTCTACACATTCTTACCTACACTTCTCTTTCGATGCTCATCATTCTAACAGGTAGAGTCTTGGCTTTCTAGTCAACGATTCATAATTATAGATATGCTAGCTTATTTATGGGCTCTGTTAGGCTTCATTGGCATGTATCCACTGTTATGCCAATGCTAATCCTTTTGGGCAACTCTATCTTTGCTCTATTTCAGTGAAAAATTACCATTTAAATCTGGACAGGGATTATAGCAAGTCTGCGATTGCTTTTGGCAGCATAGATACTTTAAAAATATTCTTCTTCCAATCCAGAAATACAGTTATCTTATATCTTTAATTGCTTCCAACAGTGCCTTTCAGTTTTCAGATATCTGGCCTCCTTGGTTAAATTTACTCTTAAGAATTTTATTCCTTTTGAATTCTTATCCACTGCCGGTAGGAATGTTTTCTGGTACAATCCCTGTGGAACACAGTTTGGAGAGTTCTCAGTAAACTTAGAATTGAACTGCCATATGACTCAGCAATTCTACTTTTGGGCATCTATCCCCAGGACATCAAAACACTCTCAAAAGGACATATGCACAGTGTTCTTCATTACTGCACTCAGTACAATAGCTGAGATATGGAATCAACCTCGGTGTTCAGTGACAGAAGGATTATAAAGATGTGATATATATATATACACAATGGAATACTATGCAGCTGCAAGGAACGATGAGATCATGGAATCTGCTGCAACATGGTTGGAACTAGTAGATTTCATGCTGAGTGAAGAAAGTCAGAAGAAGAAAGACAAACTAGGATGATCTCACTTATCTACGGAATACAGAATACTAAATGAGGAAAAGTATTTTAGTCAATGGGAGGTGCTACGATCATGCTTGAGCCCAGTGTTTAGAGAAGGAGAGGACAGAGATGGAAAGAAATCAAGGAGGGAAAACAGAACGAGAAGTCATGGTAACAGGCTACAGGACTTCAGTCATACCAATGACATGAGTGAGGGTCCAGCCATACACCCGAAGCACAGACTCAACAGAACGGAAACACGAGAGCAAATGAGGGAAGATTTCCAACACTGTGTTGAATGACACTGATGAGAGCTGGTAGCCCTGTCTGAGCTGATTGTAGAGAAACAGCTTTCTGTCGATCAGCACTAAAGATGACATCAGCTGTAGGGATGAGGTGGATGAGGGTCACTAGGCCACAGCATGTTTCTTCTAGCCCCCTTTTATTGAGTCACTATCAGAAGTGGATGCTGATGTTTGTTAAGACTTCTCTGTATCTGTAAATGTGCTCATCTGATGTTTATTGTTTCTGATGTCAATGCGGTGTACGCACTAATTTATTTGCATATAACCTACTGGGCCATTGTCGCATTGCTGGAATCAATTCCACTTCATTATGATTCTTTGAGTATATCGTGGGATTTGGTTGGCTTAGATTTTTGAGGATCTTTTCATCTGAGTTCAAAAAGGGATACTGGTCTGAGAGTTTCTTTGTGGTACCTGTGTCTGTGTTTGATACCAAGGTAATGTTGATCTTATGAAAGATGAAAGAATTCTTGTTCCTTCAGACTTTTGGATGAGTTGAAAAGGATAGGTCATCTTTGAAGGTTTGGTAGGACTGGGTTTGGCAGGAAAAATCCTGGACCAGAGATTTTGTATGGGAGAAATACTTCTCATTACTATTTAACTGTTCTTGCTTGAACAACTGGTGTGCTCAAATGTTTTGTTTTCTCCTGATTCTATCATGGGATGGCGTCTGATATTAAGAATGTTCATTTTGAGCTTGAGAGAGAAAAGTTGTTAAAGTGCTTGCGTTGCATGCAGCAACCAAAATGTAACTCCCAGCACCACATAAGATCTCCTCAGCCTGCCAGCAACAATTCCTGAGCAAAGAGTAAGCCAGAAGCAAGCCCCGAGCACTGCTGAGTATGGCCCAAAACACAACAAATACATTCTCATCCATTTCTTTTTATGTAACATGAAGATGGTCTCAGAGGTCTCATAACATTTTATATTTCTGTGGTATGTTATAACTTACCCTCTAATTAATTTAAACAATATTCATTCATTGGATTTTCTCTCTTTTCTTCTTGAGCATAGATAAGGGTTTGGAACCAGTTCTTGATCTTACTAATCTGGGGGTTGTATCCTTCCAAGCGGTTCTCCTGAGCCCTAATCTCACGAATTATTCTTGGATAGTGGTTCAACGGGAGACCCCAGGAACACGGAGCTGGGAGCTTCCCAAGCCATTCTGGAGATCTTGGGGGACCTACAGGAATTCACCCAGAAACACTTTGGGGACCACGCGGACTGGATATCAAACTGGGAACTGCCTGCCTGCAAGGTTGCGCCTTAACCTATGTACTATCTCTATGGTCTCTATTGGTGTGTGTGTGTGTGTGTGTGTGTGTGTGTGTGTGTGTGTGTGTGTGCAGGCGTGCATCTGTGCACATCAAAGGTATCACTCATGCAAGGCATGAGTAGCATGTCTCTGGATCTAGTTTTAGTGACATTCTGTATTATCTCTTTAACCATTTTTCTCATTTCCAGCTTTCCTATTTTCTTACTGACTTAAGGATTCCTTTGCTCTTTCATTCTAGTTCCTTGAAATGAGATCAGTTTATTTGAGCTTTCTCTTGTTTTCTGATATACCCCTTTCCTGCTCTGAGGCTTTATATAAAACTTTGCTGCCTTATTGATACTTCTTTTGCTATGTCCCACATGTCTTATAGCTAGTGTTCTCATTCTTGTTTCCAGGAACTTAAAAAAAAACGTTTAGAATGTTACTGTAGTTGATGTAACACGAGAAAACAATGATTGATATATATGTATATGTATGTATATATATATATATATATATATATACATCTATAAACATTTAAAAATTTAGATGCCATTTACAAAATTGCTAATAATAGAGTTTCAGGGATACAATGTTCCAACTTTAAACCCAACCCCATTGTCCACATCGTCCACCAAGGTTCCCTCTCACTCCCCAAACCGCCTCCTAAAAATAACAATTTTTAGGGTTGACTGTTGTAGTTTGGGTCCCAGTGTGAGATATGAATCCAGTTTTATTATTTTTTTGCATGTGGCCATCCAGTTTTCCCAGCAGTGATTTTGAAGAGTCTACCCTTCCTTCACGTACCCGGCTGCTCTGTCATAAGTCAACTGTATGGAGAGAGAAGTGTTTCTCTCCGGGTTTTAATCCTGATCAGCCATCCCTTCTTCTACTACTTTGTTGTCTTTATTTCTATAGCTTTATAGTATAGTTTCAAGTTAGGTAATGTGAAAAATACTAATTTCCTTTTTTCTCGAGGGCTGGAGCGATAGCACAGCGGGTAGGGTGTTCGCCTTGCACGCGGCCAACATGGCCGACCCAAGTTCGATTCCTCCGCCCCTCTCGGAGAGCCCGGCAAGCTACCGAGAGTATTCGATATGCCAGACACAGTAACAACAAAGTCTCCAATGGAGACGTTACTGGGCCCGCTCGAGCAAATCGATGATCAACGGGAGGGGGCCTTTTTTCTCAGGATGGCTTTGGCTCTTCGGAGTGTTTTATGGTTCTGTGCAAATTTTATTATGATCACTATATGTCCTTGAAAAAAAACCCACTGGAATTTAGGTGAAGATTGCATTGGATCTATTAACAATCTTGGCAGGATGGACCATTATGACCATATTGCTTCTTCCTATCTAGAATCATAGAATATTTTCCCATTTCATGATGCTTTCTTCTATGTCTTTCATAAGTTACTTATAGTTTTTAAGGTATAGGTCTTTAATATAATTAGTTTGAAGTTGAGCCAAGGTGATTGATGTTTCTGGAAACTGCTTGATATAGAGCAACTTTTTATCATCTCTTTGAGTTCATTATTTGCAAACAGGAATGCCACAGAGTTCTGTGTGATGATCTTATAACCTGCTATTTGCTGTACTGGTAATTTTTTTCTAAGAGTGTTTTAGTGGAATCCTCTCTGTATTGTCATATCACCTGCGTGTAGTGATAGTTTAAGTTCTTCATTTCCAAATGAATCTTTTTTTTAAACAACGATTTTTATTTTATTATTATTCTTATTATTTGCTTTTTGGGTCACACCCTGGCGATGCTCAGGGGACCATATGGGATGCTGGGAATCGAACCCGGGTTGGCCACGTGCAAGGCAAATGTCATACTTGCTGTGCTATTGCTGCAGAGCCTCCAAATGAATCTTTTAATTTCTTCTTCTTGCCTAATTGCTAAAGCTAGAGAACTTCCAATGCCATATAGAATAACTGCTATATGACTGATATCAGAGGGAAGGCTTTTAGTTTTCACCATTGAGCATGATGCTGGTTGCAGATTTGTTGTAAACGGCTGTTACTACCTTGAGGAAGTTTCTTCTATCCCAATTTTTCAAGTTTTTTTTTTAAATAATGAACGACAAGTCACACTGGCTCCTCTGTGCCAAGCTCAAACAGGCCTGGGAGGACAACTTGGGTAGAATATTGGGAATGCGTGCTCTCCTATGTCCTCACAGCATCCCTGGGCCTAAGCAGCAACAGACCACCGGGCCCTAAGAACCTGAGAGAGTACTGCTGGGAATGTTTTCCGGGTCCTCTGAGCACTGGTTAGAAGTCCCCCCCCCAAAAAATGATCATTTTATAGGGACTGGCATGTGACTTCATGGTAGATTCACCTGCCTTGTGCATCTGTGAGTCTCAGGGATTGACCCCTGCACTGTAAAATCAAACTCACTTTATTTCAAATGTCACCCAGTGAATCTCTTGAAAATAAAGTTTTAAAAAACCCAATCTAACTCAAAGATAGGTCAGACAAGTAAAGATTGTGGAGGTTGGTTGGTTGTTTTTTTTTGTTTGTCTGTTTGGGTTTTTTTTTTTTTGTTTATTTGTTTTTTGGTCAAAGCACAACTGAAAGAAAGTCAGTACTAGGAAAATCCCAGCTAAATGATTCTTGACAACTGCTTTCAAAATGTTGAGGAGAGCAGATAAATATTGCATTAGCAAACAACAATATGCTAGCCCACAATGTATTAACACAACAATATACTTCACAAATAGTGCCAACTTTATACCAGGGCAACCGGTATACTGTGAAAGTCAAAAGAGAAAGCATCCAAAAGAAAACGTTAAGAGAGTTATCTATTTAATACTAAAGAGCTAACCAAAAGTTTGCTTGGGAAAGGAACTGGACACAAAGCCAACTGTGCTGTTCATTTTTTTTAAAGAAAATTGGCATATTTCACTACGAAGCTATATAAAAGACAAACACTTATTTTTAGTTGCATCAATTTTGATTATCTCCACTTTTAATATTTTGCCTCACAATCTATAAAGAGGTTTAGAGAGAGCAAAAACATAAGAACCTTGAGTTGGATGCCACAGATTTATGGCTGAGATGGGACGTAGTTTGGATGAGTCTGTGTGTGATGCAAGAAGCAGCAAGGGGAGACAAGGACAGTTTTCCTAAACTTCTCAGTAAAGGAGTCAGTTCTTCAAGGCTTTATTCAAAAGCACCAATGAGGGGGCTGGAGAGACAATACAGCAGAGAGGGCACTTAGAAGATCCATGTTTGTCCGCCAGCATCCCTGAGCCCACTGGGAGTGATCCCGGAGCTCAGAGCCAGGAGGAAGCCCTGAGCACTGCTGGGTGTCGACCCCAAAACAACAACAGCAACAAAAATTCTGGAGAGTATATAAGAAATGCACACTCATGGACATGCATTTATTTAAGTGGGAGTCAAAACATAAGAAAAAATGGCTAGAGTGACCGAGCTGTGCCCTTCCCACCTCAACTTGTAGATCAGAGACCCAATCCATATCCCTGCAGGAAGCGCCTACCTGGCCATCCACTGCGCAGGGAACTTTCATCACCTTCGTTTTCTCATTCAACAAGTAAAAGATGAGACGGAAGAGCCAACACGGGGACTTCTCTCACCATTCTTTCACGTGAGGCCGTTTAAGCATTCTTTCAGCAAGCGTTTTAGGGAGAGAAACCTACATTCGTTCTTTCCCCCCCCAATTATTGAATGCTGGCTTTTCACAAAAGAAAAATATCTTAAAGTCTCCGTATTTTGTGTCCTTAATCAATTCTGACTTTTTCTCAAGGTCCAAGGTTAGTCTCCAGCATCCGTCCCTCCCATGGTGTGAATGGTGCACACCCTC